ATTTCTTATCATTTCCTATCTATTTTTTTTGACTCCTTGGAACAACCACTCCACCAGACCACCAGGACGGGGGTGCCTGCGGCAACGCTTCCTGCTGGGCACGGGCGAGCAGGTCGGCCGCCGGGCCGATCGGTGTGGGGCCGATCCGCTCCGCGCGGAACGAACCGGACCCAACGCACGAGAGGCTTCGCCCGGCACGTGAAGGCAGTTCTGACCATTTCTGACCCATGTTTGGTGTGGAGACGAGCCCCTTTTTCATCCCTTTCCTGTCTGTTAGGCTGATTTGGGAATTTATTAGGGGTTCCCTCATTTTGGAGCAAAGCGGAGGTTCATTGCTTGGGACCATCGGGTCTTCAGCTTGCATATCCTAGAACAGGTCAAAATGCACGGCATCGAGAAGATCCTGAACAACACTGTCATGATACAAACTGAACCGATTTGAACACTGTCATGAATGCAAACAACTGCAGCAGACTCATGAATGCAAATACTGTCATGAATGCTGAACTGGTATCCATATCCTATACACCTGTCCTGAACACTGCAGCAGAATGCCAACAACTTCATCGATACCCGGCGTTTAGTCCGAAGAAGATCGGGGAACCACCTCCTGCACGAACCAAACGCATTTGACCGCAAATTCGTGCACATCTCCTTCGAGGTTTCCATCCACATGCGGATTGAAGCGTGATTCCAACCTGGTGTCATTCCCATTCATGATATAAGTGTCATTTCATTAACAGTACTGAGCAGTCCTTTTTCTTTCTGGGAGTCACTGGGGCCTTTTGCTGTAGCCTTTTCACAGTCGCCGTCCCCCCAAACTGCAAGGCAGTGGCGCTCTCGGTGGGCGCTGAGCAGTTGGAATTGGGTCTGGCGTCGGGGCGGCTGCTGGCAAGCTGTGGCTTGGCAGGTTGCCAGGGAGGAACTCCAGGGGCAATTGGTAGAAATTTCTCAAAAGTTTGCAGCTGCGAGGGGTTACTTGAGTTCCATTTATGGGATGGTGGCTCGCAGGGGTCAGGTCTTGATTTACAGCCATGTGACTGTGGGGTTGAAATGGTGCACACCTGAAGATGATGAGAGATGGTCTGCTGGGGAAGATTCAGAGAGTATTTTTTTTGGGGTTTTAAAAAAATATTTTTTTAACTACCAAAGCTCCGATCTCAAAATGGGTTCCGCTGCATGCCAAACTGGCACTCCCCCTGACCTGTTGGGTGTTGCAGTCCCTTGTGGAAGCACATCCAAAGGGTGGATTGGATCGTGCACACCCAAAGAAAGGGCAATGGAGCTGATGAGAAGGAGAAAGGGGGGAGCATTTGTGTTTGTGGTGTTTGGTTAGAGGGAAGAGCATGTTTGCTTGATTGTGCCACCTGCTCTGAAATGCTAATTTTGAGTAGCTGCTCCAGTTAAGCCACCCTCTCTGACCGTGACTCGAAGCTTAAAGTAACATCAGAAGGCAGGCATCAGGCCACAAACAGGTTGGGTGCAATTCTTCACTACCATGACTATGACCCAGATACCACAACAGATATACAAAGGTTGGCCCTGAGGAAGCAGCAGAATTGCAACCTGGTAAGCAGCAGTACTGGGACCAGGGTTTATCCGAAGGTAGATGATTACTTGCTGTTCAACAGGCACAGTGCCCCGAATGATCTCTTGACCTATCGAGACGTGTTCCAGAGCTACCAGTTGGTTTCCCCCGGCAGATCCCCGGGTCCTCCGGAGCGAAAGGTCGAAGAGCCGACCTGTGCCCTTGGCGGGAGGGAGCGTCTCACGGTGGCTTTCCGGGTCAGACGGGCGGCATGGGACTAGATGGGACTTCTGAGACGGGCATTTGAGAGGAACACGGCCGACACCCTGAGAGGTTCTCTGAAAAGAAGGGCAGTTTTTGGTGACCGATTCCGGCGGCTGGACCTTGGCGCTGACCCTATTCTTGGGTTCGGCGCTGGCCAGTTCTGTCCAAATCCACTGGCTGTTGGATGAGTTGGGGGGGAAGTGGTGCATTGGATGAAGGTGGATGAAGTGCAAACGCTCATGTGCTGCCCAACGCCTGAGGTGCATCACGGCCCTTTGGACAGCAGTCAGTGGAAGGGAAGTCGTTCGCAGGGTCCAGTTTCATGGATGAACAGCATCTTTTGCAAAATTCCAGAGGTGGTTTTTGGAAAACAGGGTGTTGGCTTCAAGTTTTCGATTCACGGTAGGGAGGCTTTTGTGGCCACTCTTCATAGTAGCGTCCTTGCTCCTAGTAGCGATGCCAGGAGCCCCTAGTAGCGTCCTTGCTTGTACACAATCGCAGCTACTGGAAGGATCCGGAAGGCATTTCGGAAACACCCAGTTGCTCAATGAGGGTCAGATTTACTGCTTCGGTCGCTGACAAGCCTCTTTTGCTTTTGTTCCGGAATCGCCGGAATCCCCTTTTGGATCCCCAGAAATCTTCAGAATTCACCAGGTGAAACCAGAGATCGATGCTGTCTTTGCACTGGGATGCATCCTGATGATCCTGGCCTTTGACTCGGCCTGGGGCACCCAGCACCACATCAGAGGAAAGAGATGTTCAGCTGCAACGAGGAGAACGCAGATCAAACGTGCCCCAAAGCAAGCGGAGAATATGAGCCCAATCTGTAGGCCTGTGAATTTTGCGAGATTTGCCAGCCTCATTGAACAACACATTAGAACAGATTCAGCAGGTGTGCAGCAAGACCACCTTACATGCTGAGGCCCCACCAGTGCCTGGCAGTGACGAGTGATGAGAAACAAATGGAAAACAGTGAGGAGCGTCGACTGTCGACACAGATTCGTACGGAGTTCGGAGTGGACACGGATGAGCTGGCCTCCAACCTACTAGCGATGGCCTCCAACAGCTAGCAGAATTTTGATTGCTCCTTCTTGAAGGCACTTCTGAGAAAGCGGCCAAGCGGCCATCCCTGTCAAGTGCGAGACGCTTTGCATGGGCGTGGGCCATGCCCCCATTATATAGATAATATAGATGTTTATATAACCAGTGTGAGGAGTAAGGAAGAGGTTGGGTCTACAGCCAGAGAATTAACAGCTTGCCACAATTCGCATCTTCCCAAACTACAACCACCTATGGCCTATGGGCCTATGGGAAAGCGGTGATCAGATACGAATCATATAGGCATGGGTTGTTCTTCCCGTCTCCCTCCGTATCGGTTCATGTCCTGGTGCATGGAGTTATGGACGAGGACAGGTCGGTGGTCCACCCGGCAAAAAAAGCACATGGAGCCTGAACATGGACGTCTACTGGAAGACGGACCAGACTTGATTCCTCCACAAACCCCTTTCTTTGGTTTTCAACTTCCATGTGAGGGTCTGTTTCCAGCACCGGTCCATCGTCACGGGACCCCTTAGGGTATACCAGCGACACATCCATCTCTCATGGGGCTTTTTTGATCATGGCACCGGGAGCCCCGGTCACCAGGGTAGGTTCACCCTCCCAGGGTGTCTATGTGGTTCTTCCTCTCGCGCCAAAACGCACTGGCAGGCACAGGTGGCTTTCTGCCAACTGTCCAGTCTTGAAGTGAAAACAACACATGGTGTCTATTTTGTTCATTTTGGGTGATCATCCAAGGTCCCCCGGTGTTGACCCAGGGACCAGCAACTTGCTTCAAGAGAACACTGTGGGCTAAGACCAACTTTCCTCGGTAACTGCAGGAAAATTCCAAGGTCCATCATCATCCATCTTGTTTGAGAGGGACGTCCTCTCTTTTCTGCTAATCAATGGCTTCGCGTTACCTCGAGCCGGCCTTCATGAAAAGGTGCTATCATGAAGTCTATGGAACTAAGCCAAGCGGCCGATTTTTAGCGCAACAGAACAGATGCTTGCCCCCGCCCCCACCGCCATATTTTTATTTTGGAATTCACCTACAATAGATAGACAAGGATAGAGACAACTTAGATTGTTAGACAGGAGAAGCTTTCGCTCTCCAAACATTTTCAAGCTTCTGCTTGATCTGCCAAGTTATTTACAGCCTTCGGCATGCCGCCGGCCACCAGCTCGAGCCCGCATTGGCAGGCAGCTTAATGATACAATACCCTGCTCAATCATACTTGTTGGTGCATTGGAGGTGCACATTTGGCTGGGTGAGTTTGTTCATGTTTATTTCAAGGTTGTTTGACCATGAAATGGAACGAATCCGAATTAGAGGTTGTCTATTCTGATCCAGCGATCCGAACCGGCATGTCTCAGTCGAATCACCTAAGAGGAACCAAGTGAAACCAACACAAGCAATGCGAACCAAGACTATCCACAAAACATGACCTTGAAAACGATTCTTCTTCCAAAATACTTGGCCGTGTGCATGTTTTCCTTTTCAGATCTTTTTTTCGACCTTCTCGAGGGATTGCGACACGCACAAGATATTCTTTTTCACACACAGAAGGCTTCAAAGCGACCGAAGAATTTCTAGATCTGGCATGATTTGTCGTTTTTTTCTCCAAACCGTTTGAAATGAAAGACCCAGAATGACATCGAACAACAATACCCTGCTCAATCAGACTTGTGGGTGCATTGGAGTTGCACATTTTGCTGGGAGAGTTTGTTGCTGTTGATTTCAAGCGAAGTCGTTTTACAATGAATTGAAACGAATCCGAATCAGAGGTTGTCTATTCTGATCCAGCGATCGACATGTCTCAGTCCAATGGTTGTCAATTTTTTGATCCAGCGACCTACTACCTACTACCGACTACCTACTACGTACCACCTACTACCGACTACCTACTACGTACCACCTACTACCTATTACCTATTACCTTTTTACCTACTACCTACTACCTACTACTACTGCTGCTACTACTACTGCTACTACTACTACCACCACCACTACCTACAGTGGGGGGGGAGGGGGGGGGCGTCAGGCTGTCGAAAAATCCGCGCGGAGAGACAAACCGTAGATTGAAGCCAACACAAGCAATACCAACCACAACAATCCACAAAACACGCCGGCAGGCCGGCGGATTCTGACCAAGACTTTCGACTCCAGCCTTGGGTTGCTCGGTTTCCTGCCACTCCTCCATCAGCCTAGCCAATCTCGCGCCATGGTGGAACGCAACTTGGATATGCGGTTGGATATGCGGCGAGTGGAGTTCAATATCAAGTTCATGCGGCAGCAGCAGACCCCAGGCTATGTGATGCTGGAGGCGACTGGCGGACTCGTTTTTTTTGCGTGCGCACAGACTCGTTTTTCCCGTTCGTCTTAATCATGTGACGTGTGGGAGTTTGAGAGTATGAAACTCTGAAAGTTTCTTGGCCATTTCTTGCATCCTTTGAACCAAATCGCAGGTCCATACTTAATATGATTCCATGGATTCCATGGGTGCCATGATTTAAGCCGCATCCATGGGTGCTGTGGCTCCCCTGGGGCGAATTTCAAGAGCCGAGCACAGCTGGTCACCTCCAAGATCCCGGATTCCTGTGGACGGATGACAGGTATTAGAAGCAACTACTAGGAACAAAAGGCATCGCTACTACAGGAGCAAGGACGCTACTATATAGGGGCGCTCCTGGCATTACTACTCGGAACAAGGACGTTACTAGGGGCTCAAGGCGCCTTACGTAACTAGGAGGCTAAGCAAGCTAAGCAACTCGACGTCACACTTGGACGTCGTGTCGCTGCGCTGCTTTCAGCGATCTTTTCATGGATCCGCAGGAATTCGTGGATCCGCCTCAAGCGCCCTCCTCTACGCATGAAGCAGAAGACCGTGCAGCTCACAGTAGTAGGCGGAAGATGGCGGAGACGGATGGGATGAGGATGGAGATGTATGGTTGTAGGGTGTGCCACAGAAAGGTGGCAGATTGAAGACACATATGGTTGATAATATTTATTAGGTGTAAGAATCGTACAACTCAGGTTTGGGGAGGTTTACACAGGTTTTGTAATTAGGGCTAGGGTTTCTGATTTCAGAATTGCGCGGTTGACCAGCTTCCACAGATTCCTGCCAAACACTCGCCCGTTTCCGAAACAAAATCGTTCTTTTCCAACCCGCACAGACGAAGAATATGACAAGCTGTAATACGGCGAGCCGAGCGCAGAAGTCACCGACATACTCGGTACGACGGACGACAGGCCACTCGCTTGCCGCTCCACGGCCGCAGGTTCAAGGCCTGGCTGTGGCCCTTCGCTCGCGAACGGAGGGGCGGATCGCTGGAGGATCCCTGGAGTCGGGGCGACTGCCGCTGGATGCCGGATGAGATGCCTGGGCTAAGTGGGCGCAGAAAAGCACGGGCAGGAGGGGTGACGACGACCCGCGGTGTTCTCCTCAATATCGCCGTGGGAGCTTTTTGGTGGAACACTATTAGTGTTCTGATGGATCATGATGGAGCCGCTTGCTTGGAGTTTCTTCACCTGGGAAGAAGACCCACTCGGCCTCATAAGGGGGGGGTTTCAAGCTCCACACCTGATCCCCAACAGTTCCAAGGACCGAAGGAGTGCGGCCGAACCGTCATCCATCTACCATCCGATGGGACCGAGGAAATGTTCCAAGTGCTTCGCCTGCGGCGAGACCTTCAATACGTGGACCCGGCGCCGACACCACTGCCGGCTCTGTGGCCAGATCTTCTGTCACCAGTGCTGTTCCAATTGGGTGGACGGCCTTGCAGCTTGGAACAATGAGAAGCAAAGCTGAAGCAGAGAAAGCAGAGCTTCAGATCCCAAGCCTCAGTCGTCTGGGAGACGAACCCTGGTTTGGTGGATTCGCATGGGTTTTCGGTTTGAATCAGTGATGCCAATCTGCTTGGATCTCATCCTTGAAACAACACGAGCGAAGCTGCGAAGCCACTTCTCAGCACCTGAAATGGCAGTTTCCTCGTCATGTTCCGTGGTTTCCTCCCCGGGGTCCACCACTGTGTTCCTTTTTCTTCGCCCCCCCCTTTTTTCCCGCCCAACCCTTTCCCGCTCCACTTCGCGGTCGAGCGCGGTTGAGCGGTGAGCGACCGCTCCTGGGGCTCCGGCGGTCCGGGGCCGGGTCGCTCCGGTCAGGTGGTGGGCCGCAGCAACGAGAAGAAGAGCCGCTTGTGCGAGGCCTGCACCGAGTTCGTGGACGATCGCCTCATCGACCGATCCACGATCGGGCGGAGCATGGACCGCTGGCAGCGTGGTGTGAAACCGAAACACACGGGGGGGACGAGGGGGGGCAGGGGGGAAGGGAAGCGAAGCTATAGTTAGCTGACATCAGGGGAGACTTTCACTGATATGGAGGGATTGCTCGGAGGAGTTTGGTCTGAAAGGATTCAGAATTCAGGTCAGGAAGCGTTTCTCTCCTTTTACCGCAGAAAAATACTATAGTACTCGTACCTGTGTTAAGTCGTCTGGTCTTGTAGAAAGTCGTCTGGATGCTGCGTTCACAATGGGGTTAGATGCAAGATGGATCAAGATGGCAATATAACTGGAAGAGTATCAGGTCAGCAACATTGTTTGGATGCTGCGTTTACATTGGGGTTATGGAGCTCGAGCATCAGTGGAACATCTTATGAAAAATAGGTCGGTTTCTTGCAGTGATCACAGATTCAGGGCAAGCATATAGTCATATTCGACATGCTTCGTCGGTTGTGGGATTGTTATATTTTTCTTTCTGCCTTTCACTCACATGGCATGATTGGCTCAATTATTTTAGATGGAAGACCACGTTCCTGGGGGCAATCTTCATGATAGTCCTAACCTTGCATTCTGATTGGGGTTCGGTCACCAAAGCGCTGCAAACTTCGACATAAGACTAGTTCTTTCCTGTGCAGGGGCAGTGAATTCTTGATGTATAGCAGTTTTGACAATCATACTTCCGCAGAGAGTTTACATTGTGCTTTAACATAAAATGGGTGACTTTTCGCGAGCCGGGTGACTTTTGACTAATGCTGCGTTTACATGCGGCCGGGTGACTTTCTGCAAACCCGGGTGACTAAGCCCCAGCGCTTGTAGCTATAATTAGCTACCCAACTGTTCTTTGCGCGAAGCTGCAGCCGGTTTCCCCTGCACGTGCTGAGGAAAGAGGAGAATGCAGAGGCGGCACAGGACGATGAGGAAAACGAGGAGGAGGATGTGCCATCGGAGGAGGAGAACGAACGAGGAGATGCAAACCTTCCAGGTGTTGATCAGACCAAGGAATACCTGGAGCATTTCTATCAGCAGGATCCGTTGGAAGGTCGGGGATTCCCAGAAATTGGTCATGTGAGGACAGCACGATCCTGTGTACTCCGTGATACTCAGTGTACTCCTTGCCCCAGTCAAGCGACTTGTCCTCGCGAGTTCGTTTTTTTCATGTTTGTTCCATCCCGAGCTTTTCGGGAGCTCTTTTGGCTCTTTTGTGTCCAAAAGAACATCTCACCGGACGACACTCGTGACCTCCGATCCTGAAGCTCCAAACATCGGACACCTCCGAAACCCACTTTGGCAGCACCCCCCCTGTTCCCCCCCGGCCCGGGGGCGCCGCTCCCTCGAAAAAGATCGGATTCATGTGTTCCTTCCTCTCCCCCACCGCGCCGCCTGACCGTGTTCACCGTTCAGCTTCCTTCGTCCTTCACCGATTTGGCCGAGGTCTGAAGGAGGGCGAGGCTCATCGTCAAGAGTGGCATCAGATGGCCGAAGCCTCCTTCCGGCGTTTCGTGGCCTCGGTGCACGCCTACTGCGTCCAGGCGACGGCGGGAATGCTCCCCAGCTCAGAGCTCGGAGAGCTCCCTGGGCTTGGCGCGAGAAAGATGGTTTTAGTTAGACCGAAATGTGGGCCGCTGCATGGCGGAAGTGGTGTTTTCTTCTAGGTACAGGTTCAAAGTTTCAAGGGGCACCCATGCGGGGAGCGAGTTGATCACCATCTCCAAATTGAAGCTGTGAAATGCCAGGATTTGTCAGGAAATCAAAGTGAAACTCTGTAGGAGGGAGACGTGTGGCACTGGCTCCACCGGGCAATAAATTACAGCAATATAGTATAATATTTGTGAATATATATATGTGATAATCTATCTATATATATATATATATGTGATAATATGTGTATATATATATATATCTGTGATATGTATAAAGTATAACATGTGTAGGGCCTGCCTGCAGGTTGTTTGTTTAAGACCGGACATCGCCTCTCACAGGTTGGAAATGGACTGGAGGAGCAGGATGTGATTTTCACCATTTGCAAGCTGGCTCAACAGGTGGACTGTCGCGGTGCATGGTTCTTTTTTGGGAGGAGTTCCACGGCAAAGAACGACCGACATGCAGATGGGAGCTAAAGATGAACATAGAAATCCGTTCATCTCCAACTAGTCCTTCCAATCCCTCTGATGGCAGTGTCAGAGGTATGGAAAGGAAGACAAGCAAAGAAAGCATTTTCACCCACAAGTTCACCTGATGTCCTAATAATTCGGTTTCTCATTTGAACCCGGCGAGTTGCCCCGGTCTCTCGTCCTCGCGCCCTGGTGGTGGACCGCTTTGCTGTGGTCAGGTGGTGAAGCAGATGGATTTCAAGCTGGAGGACTGCATGGACATCTTAAAGTGCCCGGTCGTTGACCACCTCAGCGATCTCAAGGGTCGTCCAAAACGGAGGTCCCCCCCAAAACGGGTTCAACGGAGACGTTTTGGTCAGTGGATGGACCGACACCCCGGACATGTTTTCATGTTTTACCCTTTTTTGTGCAAGCTTAATTATGAGTGAGGCCTCCAACAGAAGAACATGACCACTCCCAACCAATGGTACAAAGGACATGTGGAAAATGAAGCCTTCTTGGCAGAAGCTCTCAAGCGGAGCAGGTACGTGAAGGTCAAGCGAGTGCCGGGCGAACACTTTGGAGCCTCCAAGTGCTACGACGCTCGGGCAAAACTGTTTGGGTCCTGGGTCATTACGTAGTAGTAGTAGTAGTAGCAGTAGTAGTAGCAGTAGGAGTAGGAGTAGGAGTAGCAGTAGTAGTAGTAGTAGTAGTAGTAGTAGTAGTAGTTGTAGTAGTAGTAGTGGTTGTAGTAGTCGTAGTAGTAGTAGTCGTAGTAGTAGTTAGTTAGTTAGTTAGTTAGTTAGTCAGTTAGTTAGTTAGTTGGTTGGTTGGTTAGTTAGTTAGTTAGTTAGTTAGTTAGTTAGTTAGTTAGTTAGTAGTTAGTAGTTAGTAGTAAGTAGTTAGTAGTTAGTAGTTAGGAGTTAGCAGTTAGCAGTTAGCAGTTAGTAGTTATAGTAGTTATAGTATTTATAGTAGTTATAGTAGTTATAGTAGTTATAGTAGTAGTAGTAGTAGTAGTAGTAGTAGTAGTAGTAGTAGTAGTAGTAGTAGTAGTAGTAGTAGTA